AGGAGCATTTTCTACAACAAGGTGGAGGAGACTGACTCCTGTCAGACTGAGAGGCTCAGTGAACTAAAGGACTCTCTGAGTGTTTAGATAGTTAACTTTAGTCTAAGTTATCTCAGTGGGTCTCAAACGGTTTGGTCACGATTAATGTAAACAATTATTTCCGAGGCACACGTTTATATGATCATTATAGTTATAAAACAATAAGAGAATAAATGAAAAACAGGTATGAAATACTATATGACAGTAAAAAAAGAATAAAGTTTAAAAGGGGAGTGATTTGTAAAATATCCATAAAGAAAAAGTAAATCTGTTTACAGTTCTGTTTCAAATGGGTGTTGAGAGAGGTATCCATAGATCTCTTCATTTTGCTCTCAAAGTGCACCAGATTGATGCTTTTAACTTCAATATTTAAAAAAAAGTCTTCCCGGGGGAGCATGCCCCCGGACCCCCCTAGAGGAGGTGATGACCCCCCTAGAGGATATTAGGTCCACACACCACCTATAAAAATACCATTTTACCCCTGCTTACACCTATATGCCGTGAGCTGATTGTCAAGCCTTCATTGTAACCAGTGGCGACTGGTCATTAGGGGCAGCCCCACCTAGTGTCAGCAGAAAGTATTACAAATAATGATTACAAAAATGCAAAAAAATAAGTAAAAAAATATATAAAATATATTTTAAGATCATGTTTAATCATCTGATTCGTCTGTACATTGCTGTTTTAGTCTGTGTTCTTCTAATTAGTGTGTCTGCAGTCACAGTGTGTGCCTATTGAGCTGTTTAGAGCCATGTGGGACAAAACCTGATTATGCCCCTTCCTCTCGCTGTGAAGTGAACGGTGACTGTAAAAACTTCACTGCGCATGCTCAGAGTATTTTTCTATGTAATGTGTGTGGCAAAAAAATAATGACCAGAGGGGCACGGAGCTACCATCCCCACCATACGTCATCTCAAATCATTCAGAGCTGATTGGCTGTAAGTACGTGTGCCGCGAAAAGTGTGCTGTGTGAAGAGGAGACGAGAGAGCTGCAGTGGCGCGTCCTAAAACCAGGAAGTAAGCACAAAAAAGCAATGAGATTTCTCCATAGCATTTTAGAAAATAGCTCGAAATAAGATCTGTGGGAAACGTACCTGTTAGATAAATGCACGTTTTGATCAGCCGGATAACATCCACATGTCTACCCTACTTTTATAATTTTTTTATCATAAATCTATCGATTAGATTTATGATAGACTTTTGAAACTACAAGAAGATAAGGAGGACTTTTACAAAAAAGTAATAGAAATGTTTGTCCAGAAGGATAGGCAAATGGACTTCATCTTCAAGTCAAGGTAAGACCGCAATTTTATTGAAAATGGGATCTTACTAAGAGAGAACAATTCAATATTTAAATGATAAAATGACATTTTTTGGGTATCCTTTTGTTGAACTGTCTGTTTAAAATTAATCGAAGCATCAGACAAAAAAAGCTTTTGAAAATAATATTATATTTTGGTTTAGGTCAAAATATAATATTTGTAAACCTGAAGAGTCAGTGCCAGTGCCTCACCAGCCATGAACCTCACTGCACGTCACTGCAGAAGCTTATATATAGACATCTAAGTTTTTTGTGCCCCACCACTTTTGTACATATAAAAACGCCACTGATTGTAACAGTCGCAGGTACACTGTATGTGCGTGGGGAATGTTGCAGTAGAAAATTCCCTCTATCCACCCTCTATGAAACGTCAAGCTACCCCACAGCACTCCCAAAATAAATCTCTGGCGCCGCCACTGAGCCTGCAACCCCGTTTTGAAGAAATGTGCAGTGCAACACAGGATCATTGCAGCCACTAATGCTGTGATAAGACAGCAAATATCAGCATTTTCTTTCTTTTCATTTTTTTGCACAGATTGCAAAGTGGCAAAGTATTATAACTTATTGTTCTAGGAAAGGGATTGCACAATTGTATTATGTATTTTTTTTGACCACACAGACTTATGGAGCATTGTTTTATTATCACTGTTCTAGCAAAGTGATTTTTTTATTTTTTTGAAAGGAATGCTCACATTCATATTGATGTATTTTAATAAATGTTAACTTGGCCCATTACGTGACTATTTGTGTTGGGGGGGCCCGACTTTTTTTTTTCTCCAAAGGGGGGGCCTGACAGAAAAAGTTTGAGAACCACTGCATTAAGGCATCACTCATCATAAAGGCATGTAAAATAAATAAGGAATATTTTGTAATGATTGCTAGTAAGATTTTGAATGCAGGTCTTTCTTCTTCCACCACTTGGAAAACCCAGATCTGATTAGAGTAGGTTACATTGTAGCAGGACAGGGGAAAAAGTAAACACTCCTACAGATTCCCTGAGAAAAAGGGGAGTGGCTAATCAAGCCACCCCTGAGAGAAGCGGGAGGAAACCAATCAAGGAAATGATTGGCACCTGTGTGCTGTTAAAAGGAGGACAGCATGCCATTCAACAGAAAGAGAAAGAACCAAGAGGAAGTTGGATCTAGCAAGGAAGAAAGTGGATTCTTATGGACTTCATCAGAGAAATCAGGCTATTTTTGGGAGTTTTGCCACTGAACCCAGGAGCTGTTGGGGAAACATTTAACCTTCCCAGTTAAAACCTGCAATCCGGTGATCTACTCTGGCCTATCACCCTCAGATAAGTTATTCTCACTACACCAATATCATTTCCCCTCCTCTTGCACTCCACACCCACACACCACACTCTGGACTGGAAAAACAGAACTTTACAACTTTACTTTCACACATCCCTATCCCCTGAACTACACTCTTTACACGGGAACGTGCGCTGCCTTTACACGGGAACGTTTGCGTTTACGCACCGTATGCGTTTTCAAAAAAGTCTTCCGTTCACACGCATTCGATTCATTTAAGGTGTCTGTTCCATAGACTGTATATATAAATGAACGTAGTGTCCGTGACGTCACCCATAGGATTCTGCAGAGTTGCCGAGAAGCCCTTAGTAGGCGGAGTCGGCCACTAACGGCTCGACAGTGACGTCAGAGTCTAACTCCCGCCTGCTCCAGCCTGCTCCAAATAAGGGCAAAGAGGCGGAGCCGAGGCGGGACCTGCTCCCTCCGAACTGGAAGTAAACAGAGCTAGCTCAGGCTAAGAAGCTAAGCTAACATGAAATACATGCATACCAAGTTACTGCGTGGCACTTTGGTTTTGATAAAACAGTGTAGTTCAGGGCCGAATTCACCATATACATTGGGGGGGACACAATTGGACCCCCCCAATATTCAGATACACTCAAAATGTCCCCCCCAATAAATAGCAAAAACATTTTTTTTTTTTTTTTAACCTGTTAAGCACCAAGCCTGTTTTTCATGTTTCAGGCTCGAAAATGACATGCCCAAAACAAATGACTACAACTTAACTTCTAAAAGGGTTATATGAATAATTTCTTTTATCAAAGCAGGGTTACATCTGTGAGTTGGATGTAGAAGTGTCAGAATCAATATAAATGTTTTTTATTTTTTACAGATAGTGAAAACTACCCTTGAATGATGGGTTAGTAGACTAAAAGCTTTAGGAATCCAAAGTACAACATATAATAAGTACCCTGTATCAAGATTGATGCAAAACAAGTGACATTTGACCTTTTTTAGAGAGGTTTAGCCAAAACCACCTTACCTCTGAGTTGATTTGGGTGAAAATGTTTTTTTTTCTATATCTCTGGCCCCCCTTGGTCGATTTTGATGGTTGACACCTCTTTCTGACCGTTAGAGCCAATAGAATCGAAGGGGGAGGCCCACACACACACTCATTGTGAAGAGAAAAGGTGGGGGCTGCGTGCATGTAAATGTAAAGCAGAGTGGAGCTACATTCTAGCTCTGGCATTTGGAAACAAAAAAGCAGTTTTATTGCTTATGGATTATCAGAAATAATTTCAAAGAAGGCACAGATACATTGGATGAACCTATGGATTAACTGCAGCATCGTTTTTTTATCGTTTTAATGCCATTGAAGACCAGTTTTGACCAAGGTAAGCCATGTTAGCGTTTCTAGCTACTTAGCTCCACATGTTATGATGTACGCTTTCGTTTATAGCGTCGCAAATGTTTATCACTGAGTGTTGAGGTTTTTTACACAGATTCAGTGTCTCCAGGACACCAAAAACGAGTGGTTGGCTGTGCATCTAGGATAAGTAATAAGGGAGTTATTGTGAGTTTAAGTGCCGTTTTAGGTTAAATTGTTTCGCTCGTGGCTAATTCAGAGGCTGAGTGCTAGCATTGTGGGGTTTTTTTGGGAAAAAAAAATTAAAAAGATCAGTTAGCTGAGTTTCTTCCCGTTACATGGATATAAAACATTCATAGTTTTATTAAATATTAAGATTCCTTAGACGTTGTTTCCTGCAAATGACGCGTTTATCCGCCCGGTACTGGGGGGGCCGTGCGTAACCGGTTAAATAAAATTACTATTCTATGACTTTTTTATTTTGGCTATTTGTATACTTGAAAATCTTTATTTTCTGTTATTGTGAACTTCACCAAAATGATATATTCTTTTCATATGTAAATTGGTTCCGCCTTGTTTGTTTATGCATACCTTTTATTTTGTACCCGGGGGTGTATTTCGCTGTTGCACGTCTGAGTCCAGCTTCAGTTAGCTTGATGCTCCAAGCAGGTCAGTCATGTTTTAATGTGCCTGTGGCAGCGGGGTGTGGTTAGGGCGCCGGCTGCTGGTGTGAAGGGAGTGGCTCGGCCGGAGGCCAGACAGCTGATCGGAATCAGGTAATCAATCACTGAATAAAAGCATGTGGTAACCTGGTTCTGGTCGGTCTTGCAGTAGGCAGGATCCTGGGAGGTCGCCGAAGGACCTGTGGAGGAGCCCACACGGGCAACGTTTTGCAACCCGTGTTGTACACTTTGTGTTGGTGCTAATAAACGCCTGTGTTAAACCCAAACCCTGCTCTTTCCGTCACTCTTTGAACCCTGTGTGAGCAGAGAGGCTCACAGTGGCGCCTGAACAGGGACTCATGTCGGAAGGAGAAACCCCGCTGGGTCAGGCCCTCCAACGTCTTGCCCACATGCAGGAGACCACCACAGCCTTGCAGCGACAGCAGAGCGAGGCTCTGCTCGGGATCGCCTCGAGCCAGCGCGAGGACCGGGCCCTCCTACGGGAGCTGCTGCAGCGTCCGGCTGCCCGGGAGGCCGATCCCGCGACCAACCCGGCCCGACCGCCTTCGATTGCCCTCCAGAAATTGACGGCAGACGACGATCCGGAGGCATACCTGGACATCTTTGAGGGCACAGCGGCGGCGTGCGGGTGGCCGGAGGAGGAGTGGGCAGCGCGGCTATTGCCCCTGCTATCTGGGGGTGCGCAGTTAGCCGCCCACAGCCTGCCCGCAGCCTCTCGGCATGTGTACCGATATCTGAGGAAGGCCATCCTGGACCGGCTTGGCAGCACGCCAGAGGGACATCGCCGCCGGTTCCGGGCACTCCCCTTCGAGGACGCTGACCGGCCCTTCTCATACGCGCAACAGCTTCTGGATGCAGCGAGCCGCTGGCTCCAGCCGGGGGTGCGCTCGGCGGAGGAAGTCGTCGGGCAGGTGGCGCTGGAGCAGTTAATCGCCGGCCTGCCATCTTCAACGGCGAATTGGGTCCAGTGCCATCGCCCCGCCAACCTGGAAGCAGCCGTCGTCCTCGCGGAGGACCACCTCTCGCTTCCCCGGCGGAGCGTGAAAGAGGAGCCCCGACCACCGGCTGTCTCAGCGGGCAGACCCATCCCAGCCCCGAGGAGGAGATTTCCTGGAGCAGCTGCCCTTCCTCCACCACCACCACACGGGCCCAACCCCGCAGCCCCGACACTTCACCCCCAAGCCCTACCTTACCCTCCTGTTTTTATCTCTCCCCAGGGTCCGGCCTACGCTTCTGGTCGTCCGGCACCACGGGGGGCTCCTCAGACGCCAGGGCTGGATTGCTGGCGGTGCGGGCAGCCCGGCCACTTCCGACGGGAGTGTCCTCTCATGGAGGTCGGACAGCTGGTCCGGGTTGCGGGACCGCCAGTTGCCTCCCCCGATTTGGAAGGGACGTACCGTATACCGGTATGTATACAGGGGGGTACACACCAGGCTCTGATGGACACGGGCTGTAATCAGACGATGATCCATCAGCGCTTGGTTCGGCCTGGGGCATTGATTGAAGCATCGTGGGTGAAGGTGAGGTGTGTGCATGGGGATATTCACCAGTACCCGGAGGTGACGCTGGAAATTTCTTATAAGGGAAAAAAGCATAGAGTCAGGGCTGGAGTTAGCACTCGCCTTACGCACCCTCTGATTTTGGGAACGAATTGGCCGGGGTTTGCTAAGCTAGCGGGGGCTATGGGGGTGCGTTCACGGACGGCAGGGAAATGTGAGTTGTGTGCTGTGTTTAGTGGAGAGTCGGAGGCGGCTGACGACGTCGAGGGGGAAACTGACACGGAGGGGGCCGCGGAGGTCCCTCTGGCCCCGCTGGTGTTTCCTTTGGAGGATTTCCCCCTCGAACAGTCGAGGGACGAGACCCTTCAGCACGCCTTCGACCAGGTGGTGAGTATTGATGGCTCCCAGCTACACCCAAACGCAGCACTCACTCACCCACACTTTACGGTGGTTAGGGACAGGCTGTATCGTGTGAGCCGTGACACACAGACAGGAGATATAAATACCCAGTTGTTGGTGCCAAAAAGCCGTCGGGAAATGGTTTTCCAGGCGGCTCATTATAACCCCATGTCAGGTCACCTAGGGTACGACAAATCACTACACCGGATAATGGCCCGATTTTATTGGCCGGGCATTCGCGCAGATGTGAAGCGGTGGTGTGCATCTTGCCGTGAATGTCAGCTGGTTAACCTGCCGGCCACCCCCAGGGCGCCTTTGCGCCCGTTACCATTGATTGAGGTGCCTTTTGAGAGAGTTGGTATGGACCTCATCGGGCCATTAGACCGGAGTGCACGGGGATATCGCTTTGTACTGGTCCTAGTGGATTATGCCACGCGATATCCCGAGGCAGTGCCGCTGCGTAATATCTCTGCAAAGAGCGTCGCACAGGCACTGTTTCACATTATCTCCCGAGTCGGGATCCCGAAAGAGATCCTGACTGACCAGGGCACACAGTTTATGTCACGCACACTACGCGAGCTGTATGAACTATTGGGCGTCCATTCAATACGGACTAGTGTTTACCATCCTCAGACCGACGGCCTGGTGGAACGGTTTAATAAAACACTAAAGAACATGGTTCGTAAGTTCGTGCACGAAGATAGTCGTAATTGGGATAAATGGCTAGATCCTCTGTTGTTTGCAGTGCGGGAGGTGCCCCAGTCCTCCACGGGATTTTCTCCCTTTGAGCTCTTATTTGGCAGGAAGCCCCGGGGTGTTTTGGACCTAGTTAAGGAAAACTGGGAGGAGGGTCCAAGCACCAGTAAAAAACGAAATACAGTACGTTATGGACCTGCGAGCAAAACTCCACTCACTGGGGCAGATATCACGGGAGAATTTGCTCCAGGCTCAGGAACGTCAGCAGCGCCTGTACAACAGAGGGTCGAAACTGAGACAATTTTCACCGGGAGATAAAGTGCTTGTATTACTCCCATCCTCTAGCTCTAAACTACTCGCCAAGTGGCAAGGACCCTTCGTGGTCACACGACGAGTGGGGGACGTAGATTATGAGGTGGTGCGTTCTGACAGGGGGGGGAGCAACACAGATTTACCACCTTAACCTCCTGAAAGCATGGAGGGAGGTGGCGTCTGTTTCTCTGGTCACCACGGTGATTGAGAGAGATGAGTTGGGACCGGAGGTCATTAAAAGCAACAAATTAGCCCCGGTCTGTTGTGGCGACAATCTCGCACCGGGCCAGAGAGCAGACGTTGCTTCGTTGCAAAGGCAGTTTGCCGATGTGTTCTCCCCGCTGCCAGGGCGCACCTCTCTCATACACCACCGCATAGAAACGCCCCCGGGCGTGGCCATTCGTTCACGGCCCTATCGGCTGCCTGAACACAAGAGGAAAATTGTTCAGGCGGAGCTTCAGGCTATGCTAGAGATGGGAGTGATAGAAGAGTCCACCAGTGACTGGTGTTGCCCCGTCGTGCTGGTACGTAAGTCCGACGGGTCAATCCGGTTCTGTGTGGACTACCGCAGGGTGAACGAGGTGTCCAAATTCGATGCTTATCCAATGCCCCGGGTCGACGAACTCCTGGATCGGCTAGGCACTGCTCGCTTTTACACGACGCTGGATTTAACCAAGGGCTATTGGCAGATTCCCCTTTCTCCAGAGTCTAAGGAAAAAACGGCCTTCTCCACTCCGTATGGCTTATACCAATTTGTCACACTTTCTTTCGGGTTGTTCGGAGCTCCAGCCACTTTCCAGCGGCTCATGGACCGGGTGCTGCGTCCCCACTCTGCATATGCTGCTGCTTACTTGGATGATGTCATCATTCACAGTGAGACATGGGAGCAGCATATGCAGCAGGTGGGGGCAGTGCTCGAGTCCCTGAGGCAGGCGGGGCTCACGGCCAACCCGAAGAAGTGTGCGGTTGGACGGAGGGAGGTACGGTATCTGGGGTACCACTTGGGCGGCGGGCAGGTGCGGCCACAGATAGAGAAAACAACCGCCATTTCAGCCTGTCTGGCGCCCAAGACGAAAAAAGAGGTCAGGAGGTTCATGGGGCTGGCCGGCTACTACAGGCGGTTCATCCCGTCCTTTTCGGAGCTGACCAGTCCCCTGACCGACCTGACCCGAAAGGGTGCTTCAGATCCGGTCCAGTGGACGGAGCGGTGTCAGCTGGCGTTTGAGAGGGTTAAAAAAGCCCTCTGTGGTAAGCCGCTTCTGTATTCTCCTGACTTCTCTCTCCCTTTTGTGTTGCAGACCGACGCCTCGAACAGTGGGGTGGGGGCCGTTTTGTCCCAGCAGGTGGAGGGGGTCGACCGCCCCGTACTGTACATTAGCCGTAAGCTCGCCCAAAGGGAGGTGAACTACAGTACGGTGGAAAAGGAGTGCCTCGCCATACGGTGGGCGGTCGGCGCCCTGCGGTACTACCTCCTGGGGCGCCCTTTCACCCTCTGGTCGGACCATGCCCCGCTCCAGTGGCTCCACCGCATGAAGGATGCCAACGCCCGGATCACTCGGTGGTATCTGGCGCTACAGCCTTTCAACTTCAAGGTGATCCACAGGCCGGGTAACCAGATGGTCGTGGCTGATTTCCTCTCTCGCTCGGCGGAGGGGGGGGGGGAGTCAGCTTGCGGCCGGCGGGATCCCGGCCTGAGTCGGGCGGTGGGGGTATGTGGCAGCGGGGTGTGGTTAGGGCGCCGGCTGCTGGTGTGAAGGGAGTGGCTCGGCCGGAGGCCAGACAGCTGATCGGAATCAGGTAATCAATCACTGAATAAAAGCATGTGGTAACCTGGTTCTGGTCGGTCTTGCAGTAGGCAGGATCCTGGGAGGTCGCCGAAGGACCTGTGGAGGAGCCCACACGGGCAACGTTTTGCAACCCGTGTTGTACACTTTGTGTTGGTGCTAATAAACGCCTGTGTTAAACCCAAACCCTGCTCTTTCCGTCACTCTTTGAACCCTG